CACTGGAGGTTTTTTCAAGAAGAGACAATGCATAACTCCTTGTTGGGATGGACTAGGTGACCTCTTGGGGTCCTTTTCAACTCTGGGATTCTAAGGGGTTTTTTGAGTGGTTCAGATCCTACTTCTGACATTTACCAGCTTGGTGACCGTGGCAAACAAGCTAATTTCTCAGTGCTTCAGCTAACTCGTTTAAGACTAGATGTCATAGACAAGTTGCTGATCTGCATTGATGGAGACATAAAAGAGCCTGTGATTCCATTAATGTGGGTACAACTTCCACTGGGGTATACCATAACTCATCTCCTCATTCTTATCCATTTCAGTCCCTGTCCATTTCTTTCTATTGTTCTGTCCAGTCAATGCCTCTCCATGCAGACCAGAGACTCAGTCCTTTAATCTTGAAGGACTTAGTCCTAGAATTAGTTTAGCTTCAGAATTCAGCCTGCCCTGAGGACCTGCTGTCTTGATTGGGGAGTGCCTCTTAGCACTGCCGCTAGGTTTGCTCCTTGCTTTGTACCCTCTGCATCATCGCCTCTCTAGCCAACTCTTTTCAGTCTTTAGCCTTACCCTGCTCCCCCCTCCTCTGGTTCTGGAACTACAATCAAAACAAGATTTCTCTTGCTACAGGAAAGGGTGGGTCAATGTACTCACCTGTGGCTGCACTCACCATTTCTGTAACTTTCCAAACCAAAATAACCTTTCCTGGACACCACTCCCAAATATCTGATGCCTTCCCGTATTAGAATTTAAGTTCCCTGAGGGCAGGGAGTGTGAAAACTTTTGCATCCCCGGGGCTTAAGATCTAGTGCTTGTTACACTGTGTAACTGCTTAATAAATGCTTTTTCATTCATTCATCATTCATTCACTCACTTCCTGGATACTAGCATAACACTCCCATCTGTCATCCTTAGCTCTTGATACATAACTGGCCCACCTCCTCTTCTGGTCATACATATCCATGATGATGATGATGATGATGATTGTTTTGCTGATTTTCACATGCGCATCATCATTTGTAGCACGCTCAGTTACAACTACTGTCCTTTGATTGTCCCTTGGATCATCTGTACTTTGGATTCCTTGTAGGTCATATTCTACAATATGATGTCATATTGAACCACTGAGATAATATTGGTGTTTAAACAACAAGCCTTTGTGACGTAGGAGCAACTTGATTCATTGGAACCAATAAAACAGATAAATACCTAATTTGCCCTACATAAAGACTTGAGGATCCTTTATTGGAAGGATATTAAGCATTTACCCAGGGCTGATGGCTCTGCTTGATTTTCCGCACAGTCTCTCCACCCCTTGAAAATCCAGGATCCATTTGCCCTTCCCTTCCTTCCCCATCACTTTCTCACAATTTTCTTTAAAAATATTTTGTAATAAAATGTTGAGTATATTAACATTCCTCCCTTTGGGGGCTGGCTGTGTTAGCTTCTGCTTCCACGCTGTTTCTTTGGGACCTACTTCTTCCTACCCTCCCCCTTTTTATAATTGTATAGACTTTGTAAACAGGTACCAAGCATTCAAGGAACAATTGGCCTTCCCCCTGCAGTGAGGTTGTAGCTGTCCAGCCAACTCAGGCTATTATCATAGTCCAAAGAGCAAATGTGATGGTCAGTTGCCCTAATCCGTGTGCTGAGCTGGTGCTTTTTAAAAGAGAATGAGCTGGACTGAGTACTTCCATCCTCTTACTCACTGTACACTCCATTTATGCAACTCCATAACTGGAAGAACTCTACTGCTGTGATTCATTCACCGTTCACATTTCCTAGTCTGTCCGTTGTCACCATGTCAAAAATGTTTACAGACCTGCTTCCTTCATTTGAGGTTTCATTGGCCAACAGAGATAGTGTATAGTTGTATCTACTAGTAACGTTATTAAAATGAGATAACAATAGCAACTCATGCTTATATAATGCCTTAAGGTTTGCAGGGTGCTTTACAAATATCTCATTTTATACTTGCAACCACCCTGAGAGGTAGATGCTATTTTCCTCATTTTGCAGATGAGGATACTGAATTCAAACAGAATTTAAGTGATTTGCCAAGGATCACAGCTAGTGAGTGTCTGAGGCTAGATTTGAGCTTAGGTCTTCTTGACTTCAGGTCTGTGGTTTTATCCACTGTGCCACCTAGCTGCTTGAGTGTCTACGAGTCTCTTACAGATGGCAGCTAGGTGGCACAGTGGATAGATAGTCAGGCCTAGAGTCAGGAAGGCTCATCTTCCTGAGTTCAAATCTGGCCTCAGACACTTATTAGCTGGGTGACCCTGGGCAAGTCACTTAACATTGTTTACTTCAGTTTCCTCATTTGCAAAATGAGCTGGAGAAGAAAATGGCAAACCACTCTAGTGTCTGTGCCAAAAAAACCATAAATGGGACCATGAAGAGTCAGACACAACTGAAAACCAACAAAATAACAATACATACATTGGAAAAATTATATATATTATTAATTGTATTATTATTATATATAATTATATATGTTGTTCAGTCGTTTTTCAGACACACGTACACACACAATTTTTTTCATGTACTTTAGTGTTGTCTTCCCAGTTAAAGTTTTTAGAGTGCATAAGCCATGTCTCATACTTAATGATTCATTCATTAATCTAACAATTATTTGTCTTTTGCATGTAATATATTATGCTAGCGTGCATGTGCACGCATGGGGTGTGTGTGTGTGTGTACACACACTGATAGGTAACAGTTTTTGCCTTCAAAGAGTTTAAAGTCTGGTAAGGTCACACATGTCCTACACAAATAACAACACCACAGGGCAGAGGATGGCATAAATCCCTTTTGCTCTTCTTCTCACTCCTGTCTACACCAGCACACAGTGGGCGCTCAGTCCATGCAGCCTGGGGAAGACTGGGTTTTGCTGTTACAAAATTCATTCAGCTTCTGGCTGTGACAATTACCAGCTAAATGGTCTCATTTAAAGGGGTTGCAGTAGCTCAGTCAACAGGTATAAATAACAACAAGAGTACTTAACTCCCTGTCAGCCTTTGTGCTAAGTGATAGGATACATGTAAGAAGGATGAAACAATCCGTCTTTGCAGAGAGCTGGGATGCTCTACAGGGAGAGACAAATGCATGTAGAAATATAAACATAAATAGGAAGTCAATAAATACACACATATAGGGGATGTCCCCAAAGTCTCAGTGTGGTTTTAAACTACTAAAACTTCAACCTGTTAAAGAGAGAGAGAGGGAGAGACTCTGTATGTGTGTTGTGTGTGTGTGTGTGGTGTGTGTGTGTGTGTGTGAGTGTGTGTGCATGTGCATGCCCTACTCCTTACAAAGCAGACATCTCAGGTGGGCTCTGCCCCTGGCTTGGAGTTGGTAAGAGGAATGTGTATCTATTACCACAAATAACAACAGGACAGAAGCAAATAGTTATCCACAGTCTAAAAATAGGATTTCTTCACACACACACACACCCCATCCCCCCAACCCTCCATTGGCTCTGGGCCTTCTGGTTAAGGGTGGGATCTGGATGTTGTTAGACTTCTCAATGATAGTAGAGCCTTGTTTCATCTCGTTTTAAAGGCACAGTGACTCACCACTGTTTTGTGGAGATCAAAGTAGCCATACGCCCTTGGACAGCTGCGGTGGCCAGAAGTGTTTGGTCACAGGTCAGAACGGCTTTTATGGCTAAACTACCAAACTTACCCACTCAGAGGAGGAAGGGAGGGGTCTGGTTATCTGTAGAATATTTAGCCTGACAGAAATGCCCAAGGATAAAGAATGAAGGCTTGTTAGGATTCTCTTGCTCTCCGTCTTCCCACTAGGATGGCCCCTTTGCGTCTCAAACTTTTCCCAGGGATTGCAGAAGCATTATAGAAATTCATTCTCAATTTGACCTGAGAAATGTTTAACATGAAAGTCCCTTTTGTTTGATCTTTATCATGAATGTTTTTAAATTCTAAAAAAAAAAAATTAACTGACCATTCTCCACCTCAGAATCAAACCGTATGTGTTGGTGTGTCCTAATACACAGTAAATCCCTGGATTAAAAAGTGTGGCAGTCTGTTGACTGGGACTTAAAGACAGCATTTGTACTTAGGTTATATTTTTGGAATGTGGAAGCTTTTTGTTATTTTAGCTTTTATTTTTATCATTTTGGTTTATTTGCGCCCCCTTCCCCCACCATGTGACCCTGGACAGCTCTCAGGTCCCTTATCTGTAAAATGAAAGTCTAGGGGGAGATTCTCTCTAAAGTCTTGTCCAGTGCTGCTGTTCTAGAGCTCTGTGCGCGTGATGCCCCCTGCTGCTGCTGTGCAGGCATTTTCAGTCACGTCCAACTCTTCATGACTCCATTTGGGCTTTTCTTCACAAAGATACTGGAGCAGTTTGCCATTTCCTTCTCCAGTGCATTTTACAGATGAGGAACCCGAGGCAAGCAGGGCTGAGTGACTTGTCCAAGGTCTCACAGGCAGTAAGATGAGTCTTCTTGACTCCATGCCTGGTGCTCTATCCACTGTACCACCCTAACCTCCACCCCCTGCTAGCATGTGTCTGTGTGTGAAATGAATGTGCATCTCTTCCCAACGACTTTATGCCTCTGTCATATAGACTTACACAGTCATAGATTTATAGCTGGCAGTGACCTTCAAGGGTATCTGGTTGACTCCCCTTACTTTACAGACAAGGAAATGGAAGCCTAGAGAGATTAAATAACTTGCTGCAAATTTACCTGGGGAGGGAGTAGCAGAGCTAGCATTTGAACCCAGGTCCCCAGACTCCAAATCCAGCACTCTGTGCTACACTCCCCTGGCCTGCTGTGCTTACCCCAGCTTAAAATATAAACTCCCTGCCTTAAGGCCAGGGACTGAGGAGGACCCCCCCCCACCTTCTGTGCATAGCCTAATGATGAATTGGTGCTTAATAAGTCCTTATTAATTGATTGATTTTTGAGAAATGAAACCCGCCACAACTTGAGAAGGGCCAAGCCTAAGTCTTAATTGCCATTTTGTTTTCCTGCACAGATCCTTGGATGGCCGACTGCAAGTGTCTCACCGCAAAGGTCTGCCCCACGTGATCTATTGCCGCCTTTGGCGATGGCCGGACCTTCACAGCCACCATGAGCTCCGGGCCATGGAAATGTGTGAATTTGCCTTCAATATGAAGAAAGATGAAGTCTGTGTGAATCCCTATCATTACCAGAGAGTAGAGACACCAGGTACCCTCAGGGGATGGGGGAAACTGTTGAATTCTGCTCATGCCGATAAGATGTGGAGACTGCTTCTGAGATGGGTGTGTGTGTGTGTGTGTGTGTGTGAGTGTTTTAAATTCTCTTGCCCATTTTTTTCTTTATTCCCTGTTCATCCTTTGTTTCCCGCACAGTTCTACCTCCTGTTTTGGTCCCAAGACACACAGAGATCCCAGCTGAGTTCCCTCCACTAGATGACTACAGCCATTCCATTCCAGAGAATACGAACTTCCCTGCAGGGATCGAACCCCAAAGCAATTACATTCCAGGTACATACCGTCCAGAGAGCTGCTTGTGTGCTGTGGCCAGCTGGGGAAAGAACCTGGAGCTCTTGGGAGCCTGGCCAGGGTGATATGGCACAGAAATAAGATGAAATTTTCTTTCCCCTCAAGCCCCCCTTCTACGCCCTCCCTAAATCCCCAACTTGATCCTCTCCTGTTTGGTAAATGCTTGGCCTGCTGGCTGGCTGACTCATGACCGCATCTCCATTGGGAGGGGCCAGGCTCCCTTTAACTCTGTGAACACTAATGATGCTTTTCTTGGCAGGGAGGAATGGTGTAGACCTTTCCCTTTTTGCAGTCATTTATTTTGGAAATGGAAATAGAAAAAACTCGGCATTTGTATAGCTCTAGCCCTACCTCCCTGCCTCCTGCCAAACCGTTTTCAGGGCGTCTCTGATCATCCAAGTGTGCTCTGTGATGGCGATGAGTAATAGTGGTTTCCAAACTACAGGCCTGAGGGGAGGAGGGAGGCTGGGGAAGAAGCAGAGTTAAAGAAAACTCCTCCCCAGACCCGTGAGTGACAGCATTCTCTGTGAACATAGAGACCAATAACTCAGTCAGTAAACTATGCCTACTCTGTGCCAGCACTGTACTAAGCACTAGGAATACAAAAATAGGCAAAAGGCAGTCCCTGCCCTCAAGGAGTTTACAATCTAATGAGAGAGACAACACGAAAACAAATATATACAAAGCAAGCTATATACAGGATAAATAGGAAATAACTAACAGAAGGAAAGCGCTAGAATTAAGAGGGGTTGGGGAAGGTTTCAGTAGGAGGTGAGATTTTAGTAGGGGCTTAAAGGAAGACAGTAAGTAGAACAGGGGAAGGAGAGCATTCCAGCCACGGTAACAGCCAGAGAAACATGGAGGGTCTTGTTTGTGAAACAGCCGGGAGGCCAGTGTCACTGGATGTTGGCAGAATAAGGTGTAATAAGACTGGAAAGGTATGTGGGAGCTAAATTATACAGATCAGTTTTATTTCACTCCCAGTTAGTTTAAATTTCTTGGACTTGAGGGACTTATTCCCTAATTCAGAAGACCCGTGACTTCATATCATTGCATGTTGTCCTCTCTGGGAGACTTAGTGGACAAGATGTCTGAATTACTTTGGCCAGACGTTTTGTCACCGGGTGGTCAACCTTTGCTGATAAACCTCTCTGACTTTAGCTAGGCTGCCCTTTACGTGTCAGTCCAACTCGGGTCAAGTGCAAAGCCTGTTCAGCGTAGGGAGGACCTGCCCGAGCTTGTGTTTCATTGGCTCAGCCTTTTGAGAATCCAGGATCATCTCCACACGCGAATGAGGCCCCAGAATATGACTTCAGCAGAAGGAAGTTTGAGTATTGCTTTTAACGTACACTGTAACCTTGAGTGTACAGAGGCAAAAAGGGAAGCGGTCTCTGCTGTCATGGAGCTTACATTCTCTGGGATCTTGCAAGTTGGTCACTGAAATCATCAGAATTTTCCAGCTATCCATTTTCAGATCTTAGTTCTCTTACCTCATCCATTCAGCATATTTTGGAATACCTACTCTGCTGGGTGCTGTGGGAAATGCAAAGGAACATATAAGACATGAATTCTTCCATGCAGGATCTTTTATTCTAGTGGGGGAGGCAAGACACAGATGCATCAAAGGATTTGTATGTGTATGAATAAACATTACAGTTACAAATAATGTAATAAGTACATGCTAAGTGCCCAGTAAGGGGTATAGACCATAAAAACGATACAAATTTAAGGCATGGGAGAGGAGACCATGGGATGGGATTATGAGGGAAAGGTTCCTACAAGAAACAGTTCTTGAATTTGGCCTTGAAGGATGGACAGTTTGGGTTTAGATCTTTAAAGAGTTAGGCCTTCAAGATAGGAGCAGTATCAATGAACAAGGGAATTTAAGATCTAGTTGGAGAGATAGAACATATACACAGCCTACTGTAGCTTAAGCCAGCTGATGTTAATGCAGTTCGGCACACATCCTTTTGGAGCTGCCATATGCTGCCGAAGACATTGAGTATGTCGCCAGGTCCCACTGTGGGCTGCTGGCTCCCCTCCCATTACGAGTGGGGGAGCATTAGATTGAAAGGTCAAGCATTGTAAACCAGGTTATGTGGTACTCTAAGATTTTCCAAGATACTGAGTTCCTCTAATACCTCCCTTACCCTCTGGTTTTTGATCTCTAGAAACCCCACCCCCTGGTTACCTAAGTGAGGATGGAGAAACCAGTGATCACCAGATGAACCACAGCATGGATGCAGGTCAGTCGCTCGGAGGTTTGACTTTTGGCTACATAGTTTGATTGTAAGTCTTCATAGAATTTCAGCACTAGATGAAACCTAAAAAGATAAGTTAATCCAGCCTTTCTCCTCACCACGTTTACAATGACATGCCCAAGATCACATAGAGAATTAGTGATAGTGCCTGGACTATAGCTGAGGTCTTATTACTCTCAGCCTTTCAATGATACCACATAGTGCCCAACTGTTCTATTTCAAAGAATGTGAAGGAGCTCCCCACCAGTCAGTGTTACTGAAGTGGATTTTAGAGAGACGAGATCTGTGTAGACATGGGTTTCATTGACATGAGGAACTCCCCGTATGGAAAACTCCTTCCAAAGATGCAAATCTGTAACTAGGCTGTAACTGTCTTAGAGAGCTGGCTGAAGGCATGTCAGGGGGAGGGTAGATAGAATTAAGGGGAAAGGGTCTGTGAACTTGGGTGGGAAAAATCACATCTTTATTTCAACATAATGGGTTTCCTTTATTATCTTACATATTTTATTTTACTTTTATGCATTTGAAAACATGATACTGAGGAGGGCTTCATCAGCCTACCAAAGGGGTCCATGACATGCAAAAAAGGCTAAAAGCCCCTATATTTGAGAATACACGTGTGTGTATCCAGTTGCGAGGGTATTGAGTTGTTTTTCAGTCATGTTCAACTCTTCGTGATTCCATCTTGGCAAAGATACTGGAGTGGTTTTCCATTTCCTTTTCCAGCTCATTTTACAGATGAGGAAACTGAGGCAGATAGTGTTTACATGACTTGTCCACTGTCACGCAGGCAGTATTGGAGTCTGGATTCGTGCTCAGGAAGATGAGTCTCCCTGACTCCAGGCCCCGTGTTCCGTCCATTGCTCCATTTAGCAGCATGCGCATGGGTGTGTGTGTCTCTGCATTTCAGAGTGAGACGAAGGAAAAATTCCAAGTAAATAATGTGAAATGTAAAGTAAAATACAGCCGCTTTTCAATTACCTGGCTTTTTATCATCCAGAGCCGTGGCTCTGTTCCACTTCTGTTAGAATGAAGTGTGGACTTGAGTGCATCCAATTTGTTTTAGCCCCAAAAGCTGAGAGATCACTACAGACTAGGATCGGTCTGCGTGGTGTTGAGATTTCAAATGGACACTGAAGGATGTAAAACATTCCATTTAAAATTAATTTAAGAACATTTATTGATGCTTTAAAAAAATCTTTATCATTTCGCAGTGGACACTTCCCTCTCTCCTCTCTTACCTGCCATGAAATCCTTCTTCATAACAAAGAAGTACAGTTGAGTAAAACAGGCTGACATATTGACCATGTCTGACCATAAACACCCCATTTCACACCTGCAGTCCTCCACTTCTGCAAAGAGGAGGAGAATTCTGAAATTAGTACCTGTCGCTGCATAGACCAGAGGTCTGATTTGCTTTCTGGCACATCACTGAGGTCATTGTGTAATTTGTTTTCTTCCTTCTGCCTTGATCTGCTTCATTTCATGCAAGTATTCCCAAGTTTCTTTGAATTCTGTTCCATCATTTCATTTTTCACAGTAATATTTCATTACATGTATGTCTAGCAGTTTGTCCAGCTCTTCTCCAGTTGATGCAGATTAGTCCTGCTCTAGATTTTTTCCCCCTTTCCCTTTATCTGCAAAAGATTTGAGTAGTCAAGAGCGAGGGTTGGTGCCTATTCCATACAAGGAGAATGACATGAGAGAGTGGCAGAGGTGGGAAGAAGCAGTGGGTATGGACCAGTGAGGCTGGCTTGGCTAGAGCAGAGTTCCCATAAAACAACAGAGGGAGATGAGGTCAGATAAGTTACTAAACAAACTGTGTTTCATGTAGTGACCAAGCGAGGAAGATGTTGGATTGGCTCCTGTATTCCTGACTTGAGGAGCTCAGGCCAGTTCTTCTACTTGAACCACGTCTCCAGATGTTCCCATGTCATTTGTAATGGGGCTGAATTGGCTTCTAAGCAGCAACTTCTTGAATTGAACCTCAGCTGCCACATATAACGTGTTTTGCTTTGTATGTGGTTATGCAAGGGGACGGAGCCAAGTCGATGTCATATCCTAATAAAGGCAGGCGTGCCTGGGCTTTTTGTACACATGGAGACCAGACATTGCCGAGTCACCCTTCTTTACACACAGCTGAAAAGAGGCTGGCTTTCTGTGTGGTTTCCACAAGAAGGAGGAGGGAGAGTTACCTTCCTTCTGCTATAATAATTCAGATGAGGTAGGACAGGCATGGGTTTACTTGCTGAAATCTAGTGCTAGGCATCTTGACACCATTGATTTTCAGTGCTTTCCTTAGCTGGCAGTGTGGACAACATCTGGAATGCATAGAAAGCCTTCCTGAGTGAAATACTAAGTGACCACTATGAGCCTACAGCTATAAAATGTTGGCACATAAAGTACCTCACTAACCAGCATATGTCCAAATGTCATATTTATTCTGACTATCCTTTCCTTCTTACCTCAAAAGCAATTCTTCATTTTTGAAGGATGGTTATTTTTCTAAAAATAAAAAAAAATCCCTTTTGGGAATAGTGGTTGCATTTTGCCCTCTTCCCATATTCTCGTCTCTTAATCCCTTTTTCCTAATCCCCTCCATCCTTTCCCCCACCCCCCCTCAGTGTATTTAGAGGGCTCTGTTGCTCATATGAAACACTAATGGTTGCCAAAGTTGGAAACTGTTTTCATGATTGTATTGTAACAGCACCAGAAAGTAGGTCCCTCTTCCCACCCCTCACCCCATTCTCTAGTCTCTGCTTAAAGGTGCCTATAAGAAAATCAGGTTGGATGGTACTTTAATTAGCAGCTGCTCAAGGGCCTGCTTTTCTAGGGAGTTGATGCATAAAGAGGTAGACACTCAACTAGAGTTGCCCTGTGCATCCATAGTAGGACCACATCCAAACCATTCCAGACCATTCTCACAGGCTTTCCCAAGCAGGGTTTGCCCCAGAGCAGAATGACTCAGGCTGCCTGATACACCTCGTTTCAAGAAGAATTTAAACCAACTCACTTCTTTTTTCTTCTTACTTTAAGCCTTTGTCCCCAGTCATTAGTTCCACTCTTTAAGAACCATCATAATGGGGGTGCAGCTAGGTGGCACGGTGGATAGAGCACCGGCCCTGAAGTCAGGAGGACCTGAGTTCAAATCTGGCCTCAGACCAAACACTTGACACTAGCTGTGTGACTCTGGGCAAGTCACTTAATCCCAATTGCCTAAAGAAAAAAAAAAGAATCATCATAGTGGGAAAATTATGCCTTTGCATCTTCATCAGTTCATCAGAGGACATCACTCATGTTCGTTAGGACATACTTAAGCTTGGGAGATACTCACATTGAAAGAATACCTCTACTGAGTATCCTCTATCTAGGACCCCTTCCTTAGTGGGTACCTTAAGTATTTAGACTGGGTACTCATTAAGGAGATTATATACTAAGTCCAAGTAGAAAAATTGAAATTCTCCCTTAGCCTACCATGGTCTAAACTAGTGGTGATGTTAACATACATTATGTTATTCATCTAACAATAAAAAAAAATGGATATTTAATTTTTACTGTATATAAAGTATTGTGCTAATTACCATGGGAGATATAAAAAAAAGTATAAAACACAGACCCTGCCCTGAAGGCATAAATAGGTGAATCAACCGTACAGGAAAACAATAGTCCAATATATAATGGCTGATACATATAGTAAGGACTCTGACAGTTCAGAGGAGGATGTTCAGTTTATCTTGATAGGGTTGAGTAGGCATTGAATGAAATTGTCACAAGTAATTTTGTAAAAAAAAAAAGTAACTCTGCATAGATTCTAGGAACAAATGAGGGATACTCAAGGCCTAGAAGTGCAATATTACTTTATTAAAATATGACCTTAGTAATAGGATATTAGGTTACTTTATTTTTTTGCTTATGAAGTCTAATTAGGGCTAGGAGGAGTGGATTTAGATTTGTGCATGTGTGAATGTGTGTGTGTGTGTGTGTGTGTGTGTGTGTACACACACATACACATGAGTGCCACATTCCAGTGTGATCACTCGGTTATATGCCTTCTAGGGCAGGTTTGTGAGTTTTCTGAAACCTGAGATTGGGATTGGGATTTCCAGATGCCTGTTGGTAGTGTTAGTACACCAGGCAGGCCAGCCAGTCAAAAGCTGTGCTTGTGGGTAATTGAGAGAGCTGCTGCCCCCCCCCCCCCAGCTCCTCATCCCACCTCTGGCTGACTGACTGGGTGCATGGGTATGGTGACCATATGTTCTGTATTTTCTGGGACAGTACTGATTTCCAGCAGGGAAAAGTATATTTTTAGTGGGTCTTTGCAAAGAGAATATCCTTTGTCTGACCATGTGTTCTGACTTTTGGTTTGGAAAATATGGTCCTGTATGTATAGGCAAGTTCCCACCTAATCTGCATATTCCTTTTGTCAGCAACGAACAATAAGAATTCCCTTTTGTATGTATAAGGAAAGTACCCTACAGTTAGAGCTGCAGAGGTCATATATCCTGAGCTCTTTTATAATGTGTTAAATGTTCAAAGATTGCCCTTTTCTGACCTCGATCAATTCGATTCAGCTGGGAGCTCATTAAGCATCCATATTGTGCTATATTCTGGAGACACACAGACAAGAATAGAAATTGTCTTTGCCCAACAGTGTCTTACATTTTGCTTGGAGGGGGAGAATATATGCATAGATAAGTAAATCTTAGCTAAGCACCACTTAGATAAGTATTTTATGCTTACACACACTCTTGTGTGTGTGTGTGTATTATATATATATATATATATATATATATATATATATATATATATATATATATAGAGAGAGAGAGAGAGAGAGAGAGAGAGAGAGAGAGAGAGAGAGAGAGAGAGAGAGAGAGAGAGATGACAAGATGCCTGTATTAGGTAGGCCTTGGTGTTCTGATTCATGGCTGGATCGGCACTGGAACAGTCTCCCAAAATATGACTTCTGTAAGGAAAGGGGAAAAATGAAGTGTTTTATAGGGTGAGTTGTTACAACAAATAAATACACATATGTGTATATCCATGTAATTATACACACCGATCACAAAGTATTGGAGGTGGGGCATGTGGAATGCTAACAGTTGGGAATATCAGTAAAGGCTTTATAGACAAGGTATCTCAACTCTTAGTGCCATTTTAAGCTTTGATCCCTTAAGAAGTCACTAAGACTTTTGTAGTGCCCTGTAGAAGGTGGCATTGGAGCTAAACCTTGAATGGAGCTAGAGGTTCCAAGAGACAGAAGTGAGAAGGAAGAGCGTTCTGGGTAATGGAGACAGTCTGCCCAAAAGCCTGGACTGGAGCTGGGCTGTTGTGTATGGAGAACAGCACCATTCAGGCCAGCTTGGTTGAAACATAGAGTGCTTGAGGTGGAGTGATAAGGAATAACTCTGGAAAGAGCGATAACAACACTGTCTTGCTTTTGCAGGTTCTCCAAACTTATCTCCAAATCCTATGTCCCCCGCACACAATAATTTGGGTAAGTGTTTCTTCCTTCCTTGATTTCTGCTAAGATGAATTGGCCCCCACTGACTGGCCAGGGAGAGCCGTAGTGACGAAAGGCTCATACGCTGTACACCATTGCAATTGTCCTTATCAGTTGCCATGAAGGTTTTTAGTTACAGTGATTCTAGGGTCATGCGTGAAATGGGAAAATTGAGAACTGGGGTTCTAGGAAAGAAAACCACATGTTGGGTTATACTTCTCTTGGGACAAACCACGATGGGTAGGTGCCATCAGACAAGCAGACAAGTGTGGTTCGTAGTCTCACAGCCTATTTTTCTCTTCCTCCTCCTTGTGAGCTGTTAGGAAGATATTCTGGGTCCATTTAGACCAGCCCCTCTAATTCAGCAGCCCTCTCTACCTGCATCGGGATGCAAGAATTTTTTTTATCCTTTTTGACATACACAATAGAGCCTACCCCACATGGGGGAGCCTGCCTGGTAAAAACAGAACTAGATCTCATCCAGGGGCACAAATCAAATGTCATAGCACTTCACTTAGGCCTCAGAAAGGATGTTGTTGTTTGGGTTCTGAAGATCTAGAGCAGGGGTTCTTAACCTGGACTCATAGATCTGAGAGCTGGTGTGGAGATTTTAGGGTGGTCCCCTGAATTTGTATAGAGAAAAGGAAATCTCCGTTTTTACTAACCTTAAACTAACATTTAGCATTTCCTTCAGTTACTTGAGAAAAAAACAACAACCGTGCTTCTGAGAAGGTCTCTCTCCGTGGGCTTTACCAGAGAGTACCAAAGAGGAACACAGTACTCAGAAAGGTTAAGGACCCCTGGTTTAGAGGTGGGGGTGGAAATCCTACCGGTTTGGTTCCAGGGAAGCCAGTTTATTAGATGTTTTTAAGACAGATTTTTCTTTGTTATTCAGTTAAAGGGGGCAGGGGGAAGAGAAGAAAGAAAGAAAGGCTTTGGTTCCAGGTTCAGAAAGTTGGTTACTCTGGCTTTTGGATCTCAAATGGAATCAAATTCATTACATTATTAATCATGGGGGGGCGGGGGGAGGGGTAGCGACTTAATATTTATAGCTTAGAGTAGGGGAAGACACTTGAAAACCAGGCAAGGGAAGACAATGGAGGGTAAATGAAGGTAAATACAGATGTATATTCCTTTTCATCCAATTCCCTCCACGCAAATACTCAAAAAAAAAAAGTTTAAGGCAGACTGAAAAGTTGAGTGCTGTAAAATATGACAGGGATATGGTTTAACTTCTTTGTGCAAATGATTTCATTGTTAGTGTTGGGCGTCGCACAGGGAAAATCAAATTCCTGATGTGAAAGGACTGTAAGAATTATTAAAAACAAACTCTTCGGACTAGAAGCTATCTTATGCCCATGTAATTAAAGACAGAGATTGTGAACTTGACTCTTTGCTTCTAGTCTTTAAGTCTTGCTGTTTTAATTTTAAGTCTTGAATATTTAACACTATGCACAGAGACCAGTTCTTTAAGAAGGGAAAACAATTTAGCAAGTTGGCACTGGCTCGCCAGAGTTTGTGGTTTTATTTGGCACTTAGCACAGTGCCTGGCACATAGTAGGTACTTAATAAGTGCTTGTTGACTTTTTAAAGAAATACAGTTAAAAAGGCACTGTTTTCTTAGGAGCAGCTGGGAAGACTGATGTCCACTCAGTGATTTATAGAGGGTCGTTTTTCCTAGCTATTTCCTCACGTAGCTCTAAAAAAGGAATTAATTTGAATTTCCCTCCACATTGTGCAGAAAAGAAATCAGAATTGTAGAAGGAAAATCATTTAAAGTGTCAGTATTGAAGGGGTCTTGGTAACATCTTGTCCAGTGTTTCTCCAACTCTTTGTTCTATGGAACCCTAGGGTGCTGCAAATCAGTGCAAGGGGTTCTGAAGGAAAAAAAGTGATATTGAAAGGTAGTCCCACATAGCATGTATGTTCATGTGAACAACCATTAAAGATTAGTCTAAATTGGTCATATGACCAAAAAGTTGGTTTCTTATGGGCATAGAATCAGTCAGTATACTAAATAATGTGTAAAATAGAATCATTATATTATGTTATATTATATCAAGTCATATCATATCATATATCACATGACACCATATGTCAGCCTGAATCCATAAACTAATTGGTGTCTATTTCTTTTCTTTAAAAAAATGTTAAAAAAAATTTTTTTACCAGTCCTGTCTATGTTCAATTGGATGAACCTAGGAAAGTTGAAGAGACAAAGAAGCAAAGAGTTAGCGATCAAGATTCTTATAATGAAATAAATACAGTGGCTCAAAGAGAATTTAATAAATCCTGAAGAAATCCATTTTTAGGGGTTCTGTTACTTCTAATTTTTGCTTTCTCTTAGTGATCCTGAGGTCCAGCATAGTTATGTTACCAAATTTTTTAAAAATAGCTAAAAAGAGGAGGTGACAAGATGCCTGTGCTGGGTAGACCTTGGTGTCCTGGTGGATGTCTAGATGGGCATTGGAACAGTCTCCCAAAATACTGGCTTCTCAAAGGAAAGGGGAAAATGAAGCATTTTATAGAGTGAATTGTTGCAACAAATATTGTTCCCAATTATAAAATGCTTTCTTGATTGCTAACACAGCCTTCTCACTCATCAGATTATTAATAGCATTATTAAATTCAGAATAACATTGATCTAAAAACAGAAGATAGTCTAACAGTTAGCTTTGTGTTACCTGGATGACATCTAAGGCCCTGTCCAGCTCCGAATCATGATCCTACTCATAGGTGGAAAATGGTGCCCTGTATGTCTGTATTAAGGTCACAAGATCATAGGTTTCGAGCTGGAAGAGACCTTAAAGAACATCCAAGCAAACTCCCTTATTTTATAAGTAAAGAAACTTAGTCCCAGAGAGCGTAAGGGACTTGCCCAGGGTCACACAGCTAGTGAGTGTCTCAGTTAGGATTCAAAACCCATGTCTTCCAGACGCCAAATCCAGTGGTCTCTCCACAACACTGTCCATTAGAAACTGAATGTTCACTTTAACATGTGCAAATCTTTTTTATCATCAAAGAAATGCATGGCACAGAGAGTGGATATTAGATGACATTCTCCCTCCCCCCCCAAATAACTAAAACCATCCTGCTACTTACTAGGAGTTCCAAAGCATGAATTCAGTAGGTATGTATTAAGTGTCTACTTTGTACATAGTTTGTAGAAGGAACTTTAGCCTTACAAAATGCTGTTCTTGACCAGGGGTGGGGAACCTGCGGACTTTAGGCTGCATGTGGCCCTCTAGGTCCTCAGGCATGGCCCTTTGACTGAATCTAAACTGTACAGAACAATTCTTTTCATTGGGAATATAATAAATATAAAATTATATAAAATGTTTAAAAGAATATAAATGAAAGATTTGTTCCATGAAGTTTGGATTCAGTCAAAGGGCCACACTTGAGGACCTAGAAGGCCACATGTGGCCTCGAGGCTGCAGGTTCCCCACCCCTGCTCTTGACACGCCCATCCTTTCCCTTTGCTTTCTTCTCCCCATCAGGACCAGAAGTTGTCAGGTATTTTTATGAGGGGGTTAGGAAAAGTGCAGCTTTCCTAGACTCTCCTGATTTTTGCTGGTAAATGTTTAACAACCAGCTCTCCAGAGAGGAAATAAATGTAAGTGTGACCCACTTTAAAATTTAATCTGCATTAGCACCATTTTCTCCAGCACTTCCTTAAGTCTAGACAATCAACAAAACAATAAACCAAGCCTTGGATTTACAGTTTGCTCATTTCCAAGAGGTAAGTGCTCACATTGAAAACGTGGCTTTCAGGATCTAGTTTGAGGCGTCTTAAGCACATCCCCACCACGCACCTCTATTCTGCTCCCCATTCAAATGCTGATTGCCTCCCCCTCCCTCCCCACGCTTCCCTCCATTCGTGAATCCAAGCGAGCTATCTGACATCGCAGCACTGTGTAGGGAAACTGAAGGGGTGATGGTCTCAGTAGAGCACATCAGAAACCTAGCAACAAGTCTTGCAGCATAGTAGGCGCTTAGTGAAGAGTTATCAGATTTGACTGAAAATGAGGAAATGGCATGTGATTCTCCTGCTCTCATACAAAACTGGTGTGTGTGTGTGTGTGTGTGTGTGTGTGTGTGTGTGTGTGTTGTGAGAGAGAGAGAGAGAGAGAGAGAGAGAGAGAGAGAGAGAGAGAGAGAGAGAGAAAGTGAGACAGTGTGTGTGTTCCAGATTTTCCAAAATGTATAACTGGGGAGAAAAATGGGGGAGGGGAGGAAGATTAATGATCTTGGCTGAGAAAATCCTTCCAGGTGAGTAAGTTGTTCCCTGGCTATTTCCTGGAGAACTTTAGGGATGCATATGAATGCTTTGAACAAATTGAGGTATCATTTAATACCCTGAAGTAGCAATTTATTCTTGATAGGAAGGTACCAGTGCACCTAGCCAGAGGCCCTCAGTGTCCAGTGAACGGCTTTCTTGCCTGAAAGGGAAAAGTCCGATCAGCGCTGTCCATTACATATAAGAACTCACATTTTGGCTCTCCCCAAACATAACTGAGATCAGGTGCTTAGAAGATTTGACACTTAGCAGTGGAGGGAGGAACAGTATGGGACTTCTGGGCGAGTCATTGCATTTATTCATGCTTTTTGCCAGATGGATTAGCGTTGGATTCTGGGTTCTAGGAGCAAGTGGAACATGCAAGTGGCTGTCTTGCTGCCTTTTTTTTTTTTTAACCGTCTCTTCTGCGAAGTTTGGCTTCTGTCCTTGGTCCATCGGTTGCTTTAGGTTTTTACATTACAATGTATTTCCTCCCTTTCCCCCTCCCTCACCACCCCCCTTACCCCCAACTGGACTTGGTTCATTTACAGATGTTTTTAATCAACGTTTCAGATGCCAAGTGTTGCCTTCTGGGTTTTATTCTTTTTTTTTTCTTCTTTAAACAAAACAGAGAGTATGCCTGTGCAGAGCTGATCTCAATATTGAGGTCATTCAGTGAGTTTAACCTGGCAAAGGGCCAGCCCTAAGTTAAGGC